TCTAGAAAAATAGTTTGTATTAATTTATTTATTTGGAATTTCTAATCTCTCTCCACTGATAAATCATTTGAAAAGAGAAAGATTTTATTCTTTTCAAAAAATACATCATTCAACCAGCATATAAAGAGAATTTATAAAACAATAATAGAAAAACTAATTAGGAGAGACTAATTAGCTCTAAACTAAATAAAAAAAGATTTACAATAATTGTACAATATCTAATATAAGAAAGAAAGAAAGATGTAAGGAGAGAGAGATTTGAGGAGAGAAAATCTCAACACTCCCCCTCAAGTTGGTGCATAGATATATCATACATGCTCAACTTGTCTAGATATTTTGAGAATACTTTAGTTGAGACCGCTTTAGTCAGAATATCGGCCAATTGATCTTCAGATCGAATCTTCGACAATTCCAAAGTTTTATCTTCTAACTTCTCCTTGATGAAAAATCTATCAACCTCAACATGTTTTGTTCGGTCATGTTGGACTGAATTGTGGGCAATGTCACATGCAGCTCTATTGTCACAGTACAATTAATTGGTCGCTGAGTCGAATAACCCAACTCTTGTAGAAGGAGCGTCAGCCACAAAGCTTCACAAAGTCCAAATGCTATACCCTTATATTCAGCTTCTGCACTTGAGCGAGCAACAATGTTTTGTTTTTTACTCCTCCAAGTAACTAGATTACCTCCTACAAATGTGAAGTAACCTGAAGTCGATCTCCTATCATCTATTGCTCCTGTCCAACCAACATCTGTATATACCACAATATCTTGATAGTTCGCAGTTTTGGTGAACAATGTTCCTTTTCTAGGAGCAGATTTTATATATCTCAAAATACGCATGACAGCATTCATATGTTATTCACTAGGATTGTGCATATATTGACTTACAACACTCAATGCATAGGCAAGATCTGGTCTTGTGTGTGCTAAGTACATCAACCGTCTTACAAGTCTTTGATATTTTCCTTTGTCAGTTGGCATTTGATCTGTTTCAATACATAACTTCAAGCCTTCTTCTACTGGAGAATTAGTTGGTTGACATGCTGACATACCAGTTTCTTGTAATAAATCTAATGTATATTTTCTCTTAGATAAGAAAATACCATTTTTAGATTTAGAGACTTTAATTCCAAGAAAATATTTCAAGGATCCAAGATTTTTCATTTCAAATTCTTTTGACAAGTATTCCTGTAGTGCCTTTCTTTCTTCTGCATCATTTCCTGTGACTACCATGTCATCTACATATACAATAAGGGCAGTGATCTTACCCTGTCGTTTCTTCAAAAACAAAGTATGGTCCGAGTTGCATTGGTGGTATCCAAATGCTTTCATAGACTTTGTGAATCTTCCAAACCATGCTCTTGGAGATTGTTTCAGCCCATATAATGATTTCTTCAATTTGCACACCTTTTTGCTATGTCTTTCTGGTATCATACATCCTAGGAAAAGTTCTATATAAACTTCTTCAGATAATTCTCCATGTAGAAAGGCATTTTTGACATCAAATTGTTGTTGTGGTCAATCCAAGTTTGCAACTAGAGACAACAATACTCGTACAATGTTGGTTTTAGCTATCGGTGCAAAAGTTTCTGTATAATCATTACCATACGCTTGTGTATATCCCTTTACCACTAATCTTGCTTTAAATCGTTCAACAGTGCCATCTGCTTTATATTTCACAGCATAAATCCATCTACAATCCACTGGTTTCTTTCCTTTTGGGCAATCAACCAAATCCTAAGTTTTATTCTTTTGCAAAAAACTCATTTCCTCATTCATAGCGTCTTTCCATCTTGGATCAGCTAATGCTTCTTGCACACATTAGAAATATATACAACAGATAATTGATTCACAAATGACTGATTTGATTCAGATAGATTTTGGTTAGACATAAAATGACTCATAGGATATTTAACTTTGCTAGAGAGTTCAGGTTCATATGTGGGTGTAGGAATACCTCTATTGATACGATTTGGTAGTTGTTTTCTGGGTAACTCAGCTTCAGGAATAGGAACATCATCGGTAGGTGATTGGTGTGGTGTATCAGCGGGAACTTCAATCTCTTCAATTGGAGAACCTGTATTATGTGATTCAACAACTTTCAAGTCTAAAGCAACATCACTGCTATAATTAGGATAATCAAGATTCTAAACTTCTTTTTGATATTCCCCCTTGAAG